AAAAATTTTATTTTTCAAAATTATTTGATTAAATAAAAATATTATCTTTTTATCTCCTTTACTTTTATCTATTCAAATAAAATTGACATCAACTTTTTCCTTCTTTCACTTCTCGTCCCTTCTCTTCCACTCCCCTCCCCTTCCTTTCTTTTAGTGTACTAATTTTTATTCAAATAGACACTTATAGTCATATCTCCTTGTGCTATTAAAAACAAGGTTTTAGAGCCAATGCAAATGAGTTTCAAATCAAACTCTTTGAGGGAATAAAGAAGTAAAGGAAAGGGATGGGAAGGGAGGCAAAGGAAAGGGAGGGGAAGGAAGGAAAAGGAAATGATTATTGTTAACCTTATTTGAATAGAAAAAAGGTGGATGAAAAAGAAAGATAATATTCTCTTTAATTAAATAATTTAAAGAAAAATAAAATATTTGAATTTTATTAATCATATAAATACTTAAAATAAAATATTTATATTTATTCATTTTTTTAAAAAAATTCAAAAAAATTAAATAAGCACATCAAATCTATTATAATGCCTCCAAAGATGAAAAATAGAGGAGTAGAGGGTTTCATCAATCTCCATTTCTCCTTTTCTTTCATTAATAAAGCAATCCCAATTTGAGAATTGAGAAAGGATGATTGTCCCTCACTTTTTTCCTTCTCTAAATCCTCCAACTTAAACTCATTGTTGTTGTTTATATTAAAAAAGAAATTGTATATACATTTATCATAGATTCTATTATAAACAAATTTCATAAAATAAGATATGTCTAGAATTTTATGACCTAAACAAAGATTTTAAAAATATAATATATTATTCAGTGACTTAAAAATTCACTCCTAGCTCAATGTGGTGCTTGTCTTGGGGCAGCTCCTCTCCAAATACACTGATCCCAAATACCCCGAGTGTATAACCGTGTCAAATGGATGATGAAGGGATGGGACAGGAGATGAGATAGAAGTTATTCCATATCCTATGCCCACCAAACGTTGGTTCCATTTATTCAATGTCCCAAATTAAGCCTTTCGTTGTTGAGGAAAGAGATATTTAGTGCATGTTTTGCAGAGATTATAAACAAATTTGGTTATAAATAATTTGCTGAATCACAAATTTAAAAATTTATTATCCCTTATTTAATTTTAGACAAACAGAGGGGATGGAATGCGAGGGGATGAGGGACAATATCAATTCATTTCCCTTCCCTCTTGTCCCTCAAATTTTTGTTATTTAAATAAAGAAAAAATTTTCTCTTTCTTTAAATTTAACATATTATTAAAGAGAAATTTTGCAAATTGTTTATAAGCAAACTTATATGTTTTGCCAAACAAACCCTCAGTTGCAGGATTTATCAATAATAAAAAGAGTGTGGTTATTGTCATCATAAAAATATTAAAAATCGTTAAAATTTTAATTTTTTTCTTAAATAATATTTAAAAATATCAACTTGTTGATTGATTTTAATTTATTAACTAATAAATATCAATTATTTTATCAATCTTAATTAATGATTATAGTTATTAATTATTTTTATCAATTAAATTAAATAACATTAATATTTTTAAAAATAATATCTTACAATTTTGATAATTTTAAAGTTCTTGTTAGTAACAATAATATGGAAAGTGTTTAAAAAGAAAGAAAGTTTTATTTGTATAAATCAATCAATTTCAACATCCTCTAAATATGTCAATGTCCTCTAAAGATCCCCGAACTAGTTAACACCCAAATATCAGAATGTACAGTTCAGGAACACGAAAGTTTCTCTCCTTCTGCTAAATTTTGAGTTGGAGACTCGGACAAATAATGCTACTCGATCACCAATCACCCTTTTCGAGTGTACCTGAATCCTTCAAATTCAATGCATTACTGCCATATTCATCTTCTCCCTACCCGACTCCCTTTGTCCAAGTTTTGGCTTAGCTATGTTTGAACTTTCATTAATTGGTCATGATTATTGTATAAACTCCAGTTAAAATGGTTTCTTTTTTTTCAAAGGTATAAATTTCCTTCTAGGTCGACACTCAACTAGAAATTATGTGGTTGAGGCAGTCGTTGCAACACAAAGTAGAGCAATTGAGCAAACAGAAAAAAAAAAAAAAAAGCGCACTGCACTGCACTTAACCATCGATGTGGTGAGCCTTACACAGACTGCGAAACAGCATTCTTTCGTGCAAAACTGGCCTAACCTTTTAAGCCAAAAATAAATCACTGAATTCGGCATTGGACCACAAGAATAAAAAATCTTCAGATGTATAATACAGGAGTGTTCAACTAACATCTCCAATTTCGGCATTGAATCACGATTTTATGAAGAAGCCAAGTCAACTCTCTTCAAACATGCAACAGCAGAAACCCCAATCGGCCCTCCTCTGAAACTGTACAATTCAAAAAATATGGAAGAAATGAAAGTCAAACCCAATGTGAATCACTCCAAATTTGCCTTGGCAGGAGTCCCCCATGCTCGCTTATGCTCCCTCTCAATCTATAAAAGTTCAGTTTACTTCGGATAGTTCTTAGGGGACCTGATCGATTGCCATGTCCGATTGGTGAAGAAATTCCATCTCCTATTAAACTTGAAGTTGAAAACGGTCTGTTGCCCATTTCTTCAAGCGGACCTGAACTATAATCCATTGTGATAAAAGAGGAGGCCTGTCCATAAGCTAGGCGAGGGGTGACCACTTCAGCATTCCACCAACTGCTTTCAGAGGGGGCAAGATCACCTTTAAAGTCAGAGTCTGGAACAGAAGATTCCTTCTGACTACAGCAATCCCCGCATGTTTCATCTGTGTCATTGTATATCAGCTTCAAGGCCTGCACAACTTCACCCATAAATGGCCGGTGAGTCACCTCTGGGTGAACGCACATGGAAGCAATGGCTGCCACCCTAGCTAGGTCATCAAAGTTGTAAGTTCCAGCCAAGGAGGGATCCACCAACTGCTCCACACCTTCTCTACTGGTCAGCAGAGGCCGTGCCCAAGTTACAAGATTTTCTTGTCCCGGAGGTTGTGACATGTCCACAGGTTTTCTACCAGTCAGAAGCTCAAGGAGCACAACCCCATAACTATAGACATCACTCTTAACAAGTAGATGCCCTGTCATAGCATATTCAGGGGCAACATACCTGCAAATCCACGAATTTTTATATTCAGGAACTGGTTCTACTTCTTTTAAGCAGTGACACCTTAATTATTTAGGCAAGTTAAAGTATATTTACCCAAAAGTTCCCATTACTCGAGTAGAAATATGTTGGCTTCCTTCGGTAGCTTCCCTTGCCAACCCAAAATCTGAGACCTTGGGGGTGAAGTCATCTTCTAATAAAACATTACTAGCCTTAAAATCTCGATGAATAACTCGAGGGTTAGAATCTTCATGAAGGTAGGCCAATGCTCTTGCTGCTCCAAGTGCAATCTTCAGGCGTGCATCCCAATCAAGAGGTCCTTTCTTCTTGTCAACACCTAAACCATGAGCACAATATGGTTGATAAGGAAAATTGATTTTAATGTTTTCAATAAAAAGAAGAATCAAGGAAAAAAAAAGATTGAATCAATGCAACAACTTGAGATAATCTTGAAATATACAAATGAACAAACAATCCCTCCTCTACCCTCCCCACTTTAATTCTCTCTCATTAGATAGGTAAAGTTGAGATTTTAATGTATCTAATTTCAAAAGGAGATTCTTTAAGTGTATCTGGGTGTGGATAAGAAGGTAGCTTTGGTCAAGCAATGCATTATAGAAGCTGTCCAAGAACAATCAACCAATTCTAAGTTCAGAGAAGTGAACAAATGCCAATGGAAAATGTAGCCCAAGGTGGTGAAGAAATTTTACCATGCAAGTGGGACTCAACACTCCCATTGGGAACAAGTTCATATACCAAGCAGCGTTTGCGTCCTTCCATGCATATACCAAAGAGTTTTACAAGATTATAGTGGTGCAGGCGGCTTAGCATCTCAACTTCTGCAATAAACTCACGGTCTCCATTCTGATTATCTCTTGTAAGTAATTTAACAGCAACCTCACTTCCATCTTCTAGCACACCACGGTAAACACGTCCAAAGCCTCCTTCACCAAGAATCCTCTTTGAACTGAACCACTCTGTTGCCTTCTCAAGCTCAGAAAGTGCAAATGTCTTAACTGAGAGAACAGAAGTGGGCATGGTGGAAATGTGTGACACTGATGTAGAGCTTGCTATACTACTTGACAAAATAGAGCCAATACCTGCTGCATGAACGTGAAGATCAAATTACATCAGCTAAGTCTATTGATTATTTGAAATCATCGACTAGCCAAAGTCTGATAACCTTACAGGAACTACACAGAGATATGAACTGAGAACTGAGAAGGACCAACAAATACTGAGAGCTAATATTTAAGCAATAAATGGAGAATAATTACATTCACATTCTGTTTAAAATCTCTGAAAATCAAACATAAAAATCACTGATGAGCTTACCAGATTGTTTATTTAGGGATGATGCAACTGCTGGACCAACAGCACTCGATGGTCTTCTAGCTTTCCTCCACTTTATAAGAATGAAGATTGCCCCAGTTAAAACCGATAAGAGTACAAATGCAGACAAAGCAATGATGGCAATGATCCTAATATTCATCTTCTGACTCTTGTTAATAAAATTAGCTGTGATTGGGAGATCTCCAGTACTTTCACTAGGACCGTGCCCTATGAAATTCCCATATGGCAGTGAAGGAAGACCTGAAAAAAATCTTTCAGATACCAACAATGGTATGTGGTGTGGAATTATAATTGTAAAATGGAGTTCAGAATTAACTACCTGGATAACTAATGGATACCACTTCATAACTACCAAAAAGAGTTGTATTTAGATGGACTCTTTTTTGCATAAATCTGTCATTCATAAGCATTGCAGTTGTATTATCAAACTTCTCCCCGAGTGGAACCAAATAGATATCAACCACTGTTCTCCCCTGATTTTGACTATCAGCACTGGCACCCATTATTTTCACTTGACTCTGTTGCAAATAAGTGCCTGTAGCAATCTCAATCTCTAGCTCACTCATTGCAGGGAAAATAGTATAGGGAGCTATGTCTAGCAGAAGTTTGACTTTCATAGGTAATACACAGCCACAAGGTGAACCAAAGGGAGTGGGGGTAAATGGCTCTGCACAAATTTGATCACAACCTGCAAAAGCCTTTTCTAATCAGAATCACAAATAAGCATTGAAAAAAGTAGTTCTAAAGGTAACTTATATCAAGAATGAAAGGGAAAGTGAAGTGGAGTGAGAACTAGAGATTGTACAGGGTTATGCTCTGAAAATTTGATAAATCACACACTGCAAAAGACATTCAACTCAGATATGGTCCTCAGGAGTAAGCTGTTGGCAATCGGGCGAATGATAAAGTCCCAATAGGACACTTAACAACTAATTTTAAACATCAAGTACAAATTTAACTTTGGAAGGCATGTAAACCATAAATTGATATTAATCATGTCATATAGTGGAATGCTGACGTGTGTCAAATATTACCCTGATACGAAGGTGATGGAGCAACTGTGTGAGATCTCATGGGAAGATGATGGTGGTGGCCATGACGTCGTCCTGGTAAGGGATGGCTGCTAGGACCAGCAATAGAGGCTGAAATAGAAGAGGCAAAAAGTCAACTGATATGACAAAAAATAAGTTTGTAAACAGATCTTGAAATTGTGATGGCAATAATTACCTTCACGACTTGGTGCAGGTGCAAGTGTAGGTGCAGTTGAAGGTGCAAAGGAAGGGTTAACAACACCTTTCTGTGGTGATCTTGATCGAGAAAGTAAAAAGGTCATGGAAGTCAACCTTACTGCTAATAGTAAAGCAACCTTGTCAGTAATCTATATCTAAGGGTAGTTAAATAATTACATAGAAAAAAGGGTATCTAATTAACCATGGTAACCTAAAAGAAAATAAAATGCCTCTAAAAGAATGCCAAAAGCAACACTCACAATGAACATAAAGGGAAAAAGGGATGCCAAGAAACTTCAATATCCTTTTCTAGGAACTTAAGGTTTCTAAGATCAGATGTACAATTGGATTGAAATTTCAAATATTCAGCAGGTATGCTTGAATACATTTTGCACCTAATTTGAATGTGCAGTGTTCAAACTTCCCAAGATAGATTGAGAATTGATATGCTCATTCTATTGACTGAATATCTGTTTTGTAAACATAGAGCTTTGTATCTCTTAATAAAGTTACAAACTTGCGAAGAAATCACTTGCCATTCTTGAGAAGAGACATGCCATGCCATTGACTCCTTTTGGTTACTCGCCTACTTGGTGTTATTTGTATTGCTCTTTGTCACACAATAGTATTTTGTAACCTTGATGCTACAAGAGTCTATAGCTATCATCTATAAGACTTGCTGCCTTTTGGTTGAGCTCCTATGATGATTTTGATGATAACAAAACCATTGTAAGGGAGAAGACAAATTTGAAGACTCCAATTCACCCCCTCTTGGAGTATTTGAGCCAACAATTTTTAATAATTAAGGTCTTTAAAAAAAGAAGGTACTCAACATCAAGTTCTGGCATTAGAAATAATGGCTTCATAAATTAATGGTTCCATATCTATGTGGAAATGTGGTTTTGTCAATATCAAGTCATGGAAAGTGGAATAAGAAATAAAAATGATATATGTAGATTTCATTCACCTGAATTAATTAAAAAACAACAAAGAAATGAAGCTAAACAAGTAGCTGACTTACCATTGTCCATTATTGTTTCCCTCATTGTCTGCTGGTTTGGTTGTGAAGGAGACAAGTATGTGTGCAACAACAGATGTCCTAAAAGGGAAAGGGACAAAAGGGGTCATGTTAATTTCAGTTTCCTAGTCCTAAATGAACCATAGCTAATGGAATTTTGTATCTGGTTCTGGTGTGCTTGTAATCAGTTGATTGTATCATATAATCAATATATATTCTTGAAACACCTGAATAGATATAGAAGATTTTACCAATTGTAGATAAAGAAATTGATTGTTATCATTTTCTCAAAAAAGAAAACTACACATGAAAAAATATACTTTAAATAAGCATTTAAGGCTACTATTTACTTTCTTGGAACACCTAAAAATGACAGAAACTATAATACAGTTTCCATCTCAAACAACCTCTATTTTTCCAGTAAACCACAGGAAAATTTATTTTCAATAGCTATCATTTGGTATCCATTAGGTGGGGAAGAAAAATGTTTCCCTAGCCCCAAAGAATAAACTGTGATAGAAAACACCAGTTACTCTTTACATTTCAAATAGCATAAATAATTGTGATATAAGGAATGAAACCCATTTGACATTTCTCCCTTCTGATAGGCATATCTCAGGAAAGGTCAGATAGTCTACAAGGCTTTACAAAGTGAAGAATTGCAAGGCCAAAGTAATTATTGATATATGGACCAATGACACCAAAGTGCGCGACTGTAGGCTCACACTTTGGCTCAAGAATGACGAGAATTTTACAAGGAGATATCTTTCTGGCAGAACAATCAAGTACACATAACTTTCTAATGGAGTCAAATTCAAGCTTTTCCCAAATGACAAAGCGCATTTTCATTACGTCTAATTTTCACTAACTTAGCCAATTGCCTAAAAAAGAAAGTTGCTTTCACACTTATGACAGAAAAAATTCAATTATGAAAGTGCATAAAAATAGGAAAACATAATTAAGCAGAAACTAACTCAAAAATTTGAAAAACAGCTAAAATTAAAAGCTCAGTTCAGCGGTTTCTCATTTCACTTTCCTTCCTTTCCTCCTATCTTCCTGTGCCCCAAACAACAACACAAAAATTAAAAATTAAAGCTGATACCTGAACACGAGTAAGAAAGCGCCCCGAGTATGTGAGCAAGAAACAAAGGAAACAGAGTCAAGGCAGGCATCTTCTCTCCCCAAACCAGAACCCAAAGACCATGGTCAGAAACCGAGAGCACCTTGCAACAATCGATTCTCGCCCGAGGACAGCCGGACACACCTAGTTTTCAGTCTAAGCAGTGGCCACCGGCGAAGCCCTTCGTTACATCGTCCGGAAGACAGCATGACTAGAAAGAGCACAACAACACGTCAACAAAAAAAACCATAGGGGGGAGAGTAACGAAGAAAACGCAATGCTGGTAGCTCCGATTGCAGATCCATAAAATGCGGCAAAGATCTAGCACCACAGCGACGTAACCGTACACAGATTACACAGATACGTATTAAATATATATAAACGTACACTACGCCTTCTTCTGCTTATCTTGTTTGGATGCTGAGAAATTGGAGATCTAGAAATTCAGGGAAAGTGTGAAGATAAAAAGAAGGAAGAGAGACGGGTGAGGCTTTATTGCTGCTGGTGTGGTGTGTAGCTGCGGCAACAAAACTACTGCTTTGGAGGAATTGATGATGGTTGTCTAGAACGCGCGTTGAGGTCAGGCGCGTGCGTTAAACGCGCACATGGAAAACGACAAGAAGCGGGGCCGTTGGTTGCCGTCACTTAGAAACCGTTTTTTGTTTGGAACAATGTTACATCAAGTTAACTTTCTGAATTTATTTTATTATTGAGTTTTTTTAACTATATTTGTAAATTAAAAATATTTTTTTAATTATAAATGTATATAAAAAATATAAAAATTAATATTAATTTTAATAATGTTATTAAATAAATAAATTTAATTAAACATTAATAAATTAAATTTTTATTTTTATTTTTTAATATAAATTTATAATTAAAAATATTTCTTACCTTCTTAATTTATATATTAAAATATAGGCAAAAACGCCCCTTTATTTTTTTCAATTTAATCCTTTAATTATTTTTTTTGGTTGGGTT